CTTAGGGGTGGGACCAGCAGCACACACTATGCTGAGTAATAAAGCAATAGTTTGACTAGAAGCTCACATCATTTTTCACCAGGGCTTGAAGATCCAAGATTAACTGATGTGAGAATCTTGGACTTTGGATTTTCCTATGTTGCCATTTAATAACCACATACTTCCTTGGAGAGAAGAATCTAACTCCAGGATGCTGAGTGTTCTTACGATGTTTATTTGGCAAAACAGCTGTAGCCAGAGGATTTAGGCTTTTCGGATTTTAACATCCTAGGCTCACTGAAGAGTTGAGGACATTCTTCCTTGTTGGTGAAAAAGACCTACTCAAATGGTACCAGTTCCACAGCAGGTGAGCAGTCAGAGCTATAGGCTCCTTCAGGCTTTGTTCGATTTCCTTTGTGACTGAGCACGGTTCCCTGCTGTTGGCCAAGCGGGAAGCGACATATTCTGGGACGTCACTTTTTCCTAAGGATGCTTGTGTTAAGAGTTTCAAAGCCAAATAGCATGATACATTTTTTCCCTATGCAGTGCTTTCATGTGAAAAGAATGGGACTGATATGCATCTTTGATGTGTGTTCACATGAAGAAACCCCTCATATATAAAGGATTAACATCAGGGTGACGCTCTTCTCTCTCCTCTTGTGCTCCAGGGAAACCCCAATAAGCAGCTGAGAGTTAAGTTGAAATGAAAATACAAGACCGCCCCCCTGCCACAAAGGATTATAAATTTCCCAAAGTTTAGTTCTAAAAAATGCAGCGCAACTGTGGGTGATTAGGAAACTCCAGAGGCTTATAAACCAAACTGAGCCCTGTAAGAATCAGAGTGATTCATTTTGTGCAGATTTCTGGCCAACCTCAACAAGCAACAAAGAATAAGCAAAGCAGGTCAGCGAAGACTTTAGTGTGTGATTTGAGATATATGACTTCAAAACAGTGTGGGAAATAACAGCAAGTGCCTGCAGTTTTTCAATTCGCAGGCCTTCATCAGCGCTGCTGCTGTCTGCAGGCCAAAGGGTAACCCAGGGTGCAGGTACGTGTTCCAGAGAAAACTCCACGGCAAATCAGTACTTCTCCTCCCTCTCATGCAGGCCCCTGCTATGTGGCAAGTCAGGCAGCGCTACAAATCGGAGAAGTTGGACTGAAACTCCTTCCCTGCAGTTCTGTCATAAGAGGTCCTAATTGTGGGACAGCTGTGGACTGATCTTACTTCGTAAGAAAGCAAGGTTAAGTATTGGATGCAGTAAATCTTCAAAGATGATGCTACTGAAGCATCTTTCTGAAGCACGGCCCACTCCTGAAGAGAGATGCTTTGACCAGTCTTTATGCTCTTTAAGCGTGGCCTTCCTCAGCCCCTCAGGTGGCCAGAAACATGCTCTCCTTCTCAAATGGGCCTGTCCCTCCCTGTCCATGGTGCACGAGGCGGTCACTGTTGCCATGGGCAAAAGAGGTTGTAGCAAAACTGGGCAGGCGCTAAAATCCTGTTCTATCAAAACCTTTGCAAACGTTGGGTCCTCCTGGTAACTGCTGGGAAATTTCTTGGTTTGGAGCAAGATACTTCAGTAAATGACCATGATGTGTATAGTATTTTTTGTGATCACTTTTAGAGTACATATTTTGATACAGCTATAGGGATTTAAATATCTTTAAATTTTTTTTATTTTAAAGAGAAAAAAGACATAACAGAAAAATCAAGAAGCAAACAAAAACAACAAAAGCAAAACAACAACAACAAAGACCAATAATGGGTACACAGGTTTTCAAAATAACATGATAGGAATTTAACAATGGTTGCTATGTTACATATTGGTATCTTCAAAATAGTTGCTCAGGTTACCAGAGACAGGAATAAAACACAACAGTAAAAACGAATAAAACATCGGATTTCATGGGGTCGAGGATTTAGCTCAGCGGCACAAGTGCCTGCCTGGCAAGCACAAGGTCATGAGTTCAATCCCCACTACTGCAAAAAAAAAAAAAAAAAAAAAAAAAAAGAAAACTGGATTTCCAAAACAAGACAGAAGAAAATCCCTCACAGCTGTTAAAATGCATATTGTTACGCTCCAAATAGATGCGCAGACCACCAGCTTTCGGCCATGCGGTACAGGGTGGGGAGGGGCACGTGTGGTGCTCTTGCCAGGCAGGCTGCCTCACGCGAAGGTGTGGTTTTGGCTTCTTGATTCTCTTCCCGTTCCCCATGGCAGGGTTAAAATATCACACCAAGAATGAGGTGAAGGGACTTTTGGTCCTGTTCTCCCACCAGTGGATCATATAAAAAGGTCATCGCCCATTCTTTAACATTAGATAACAATAGTTTACTCTGTACCACTGGGTTCCCGACTGAAATTTACAATCAAATGACTGTGAATACATCAAGTTCTGTACAGTAGAAGGACAGTTCTTGTTGCCAACATCCTTTGAGGAAGAATAATATTTTTATGAGGTCATAGAAAGGTAGCAAAGGTAACAGAACGTGCATTAGCAACTATATTTGTCTAGAAAACTAAAATTTTACTATTTATTCTAGTAATGGCCCTATAACCAAAACATTGATATTCTGCTTTAAGTGGCAAATCCAGCTGTCAATGAACGAGTTCACAACCCAGGGGATATGTTTCATCTTATTCCTAACCCTGGGATGTGACTGTATTACTCAATGATTTTTAAGAAATAGGGAATATTGATATGTTGAAAGCAGTCTTGTGAAAAACTCCACAGAGTGCTCAAAGTTTTCAGATCTCCCAGAAGAAAGTCCACCACTCATCTCCTCTCTCAGCAGACATTTCAAACGTGCTTTGTGTCGGGTACTATTTTGGTACCGGGACTGCAGAATTCAGTAAGATAGCGCCATACCTTCACGAATTTCAGCCCAATGGCAGAAATGAAGCGGTATGCAGCATAAGGGTGGCGGCAGAAAGGAGTCAAATTAAAATAAATGACCTCGAATGTATTCACTTTGAGTTCTGGTGAGTGTCGGAGGCTCAGGACAGGAGTACTGGACTCTAGATCTTGGGGTACCTTTCTCAGTATGCAGCATTTTTGCCTCACATGGCTGAATTTATATTTCCTTCAAGGCTAAGCAAAATTAGGTGAATGCATTTTGATATCACTAGAGGGATCACTGTCTGTGGCTGCTATTATCATGAATCACTTTTCATAGTTTTGGGTAAGGGAATAAGGGGGAAACAGTTCTTAGATTTCATACAGCTTTATAAAAGAGTCAAAGCCTATTCAAATCAAGTTGACGTGAAGCAGGCACTGGGCCAAGCCACTACCCTGCTCCACCAGTCCCATTAATCCTGACCCCTGTTTCTGGGCCCCGTGAAGAATGCCAGCCATGCTGAATTACCTGGACTTGAGCTTAGGGCACCAAACAGAGTTCCTGTAGGGTGAGACCAAACTCACTTCTCCTTGTGTCCTAAGCCAAAGTTTCCTAGTTCATTGTTTAAGGGAATTCTATTTCCTGTCTATTTTCTCTTACTCTAAGGAACTGAAAACATCTTTAGTACCAAGTGTGTACAGCTATCCTGTAAGACATGATCATGTGCATAATAATAATAATAATAATAAACTCCTGCTTGAATAGGCAATTTAAAAAGGTATTCTTCCACGTGAAGAGTCACTTTTGGGCCCCTCTCCTACTCCCAACGGTTTAGTGAACTCAGCTCTGGAGGACGTCGGCCCAATCTAGCTTTGCACAGTGCACATACTACACAGCAGGACGGCACTCCTCCATAGGATGCATAGTCTCGCAATTTTATTTTAGCTTACAGCATACGCTAACTGCTCTGTTAATGCTTAATATTAAAAGGATCACTTTACTGTAGGATTATCATTTCTTGTGTATACTTTTTTTTTACAAAATATCAAAAGTGGGCTTAATACTCTATTTTTAAAACATTTAAAACATAACTTGCAAATCCTAATGTTAAATTTGATTTCAAATTCTGCTGTCCTTCTAGTAATTTTTATTTCCAACTTTTAAAGACTTAAGTGGCCACCCTTCTCTCTCTCATTCTTCTTCTTTTTGCTGACCCCTGCCTCACCCCAAATAAAATTCATGTACAAAGCGGACGACTTCCCGTCCGGAACACCAGGTGCTGGAGCGCCCTGTGCTGCCCCCTCCGGGCTTCAGTTTCCATACAACCAGCCTGTGAAGACGTTCACCCGGGCTGCTTTTCACTGGGTGCCCCCTGGAGGGGACTTCGCAGACATCACTGTGCCTTGCACAGGAGCAAACAAACTTCAAGGGTCGGCTGCGTTCAGGGAGTACTTACTCGGGGTGTATCTACCACGTTCTGTAGGTCTCAGTTCATGCTAATTTGCTGTGTCTCGGTTCCCCCGCTACCTCGGAACCAGCCGGCTGTACAAAAGACAAGGTTAAGAAGCCAGATTCTGAGGGACAATTACAGAACGCTTCATCAGAGGAAGCGATCTCGTAATCCTTAACCTCAGCAATGATCCTGAGAAATTAGGGCGGGCGCAGGCGGGAGGGCCATCGGGATGGGCACGCTCTCGGCACTGAGCAAGCCATTGTGCGCGGCCACTTCCAGGGCGCTTTGGCCCTAACAGTGCCCGGAGGGGGGCGCTGTGCCAGGAGCGGTGCCCACCGCGGACTCGCTCCCGGGTGCAGTGAAGCTGGCCAGCGGAGGGTCAGCTCTGTGCTGGGTGGGAACGCGGTGCAGTTCCGAGGCCCGGCATCCGCCCACCTCGCTTAGCCCCTGGATTTCAACACTAACAAGCGCCCCTCTTCTGCCCAGAAGGTTTTACCGATGTACTGTGGATCTGGACACGTTTGAGGCAGTTTGTTTTCCTCCCTGGGGTAAACGAGAAAGTTACAGTGCGCCACCACCCCTCTTCCGGCACTGGGGATTGAACCCAGGACCTTAGCACTGAGCTACATCCCCAGCCCATTCTTTTTTTTAAATTTTGACACAGAGCTTAGTGAGTTGCCCAGGTTGGGCTAGAACCTGCGATCCTCTTGCCTTGGGCTTCCGAGCGTTTGGGATTACAAAGGAGCCCCGCCGTGCCCCGCCGAGGGTCCCCTCCGCCCCTGACCCAGAGCAGGGCGCCCGCGAGTTCTCGGGAGCCCGGGAGCCCAGGGTGGCATCGGGCGCCGTGGGCAGGGTCCTCTCCAGGTTCCCTGAGTGTCCCCAGCCCTGGCCCCACACACCTCGGAGTCTCATCCTGGAGGAGCCCCGGAGAGGTCCGGGGGAGGCGGTGCGCGCCGGGCGCTGGGAGGAGGCGTTGTCGTCTGGCACTAAAGATGAGCCGCCGGGGTCCCCGCAGTCTCGCAGGGGGCGGGGCGCGGACCCACGCGCACTCTGCGCGAGCGCCGGGCCGGGCTTCCAGCGGGAAAAGTGGCTGGCGGAGCTGGGGCGTGGCGGGCGCACGTGGACCCCCGCGGGGATCCCCACCCGCCCCCCCCCGCCCCGCGCGCGGCCCCTCCCCCAGCCCTCCTCCTCCCGGAGCCGGCGCGGAGCAGCCACGCGGAGAGCGGGTGCGGGTGCGGGGCGCCTGCGGGTGCGGGGAGCGCCGGGCATGGCGAGGGCCGCTCGGTGCGGGCGGTGCGGGCGGGGCGCGCTCCTGGCCGTCGCCGCCTGGACCGCGGGCTGGGTGCTGGTGGCCGCGCTGCTGCTCCGCGCGCACCCGGGCGTCCTCTCCGAGCGCTGCACCGACGAGAAGAGCCGGCGCATCCTGGCCGCGCTGGTAGGTCCCGCCGCTGCCTGCCCCGCGCCGCGCGTCCGGGTGGCGGCCTCGGACACCGTCTCCCGGGCACCGGAGGCCACGAGGCTGCGGCATTGCTGCGCCCACCCCGCCCCACTCCACCCCGGAACGGCAGTGGCATCGGCCACGTGGGGAGGTCCCGACCCGTGCGGGGAAAGCTGGGCGCGACCTGGGGGGCTCAACTTGGGAGTCGTTAGTGCGCGCGCGAGGATATCCCTCTCTGCGCCAAAATTGCTCCTTTTTCCCAAGACACAGTTCCTCTTCGATTCTTCACGCCGGAGCCTCTTCTCTTGAAGAAAGTTTTCAGGCTGTTGCCGGGTCTCCGGCTTGGGGAGCCAGCGGGTGCGGAGTTGGGCCCAGTGGGGACCCTGCCTCTGTTCCTCAGGTCCCTCAACCCCAATGCCAGCGCCCCCAGCACCCCTGCACACCTAGATTGGGTCCTATCACCTCTTAGCGCCTGAAAGCCATGGCTCTTTAGTATCAGTGTCTGTGGGAACCGATGCAGAGGACGCACAGGCGCCTGTCCTAATCTGCCCTCCAGCCTCCCAAGGGCCAGGGTCTGACTGCACAGCAGACAGCTCCTTCGCTGGGCTGGGCGGTTTCCGGGAGAAAGAAACACTTGTCTTTGCAGACTGATGGTGCCCTGGGCCTCTTGCCCCAAGCCAGTGCTCTTGACTTGATTGGAACGCTGTTTGCTCCTTACTCTTTCCTTTTGGTGTGGAAGATCTTGTGCTGCGGGCTTCAATACATTTAGGCGTCCCCAGAAGGAAATCCAAGAGAGAAGCCTGCAGCGACTACTGGTACTTGTTTTCTTAAGTGATTATTCACTTCTTAAAATATGATGGATTAAGCATTTGGTGTAAAAGGTGACCTGTGTTGTTAGAAATCTGAGAAAACAAGGAAGCTTTCAATCCAGTTGCTTACACACGGGTGGGATTTCAGAACTGCAGATTTCCAAAACTCTGCACTATAAGGGTTTTAAAAGTAAGTGATTCTAAAAGTGGGATTGGAAAAATTAAACTGAAATCAAGTCATGTCCCTAATTGGATTGCTGTAGACTCCTTACTTGATACGCTCACCTCATAGGTGAGACTGTCGCCTTCGGCTCCCTTACAGAAGTCTGTCCAGTTGTAAACTGCTACCTCAGTATCTAAAATTCTAATTTATAAATTTTGGGGGGGAGATCTGATTGGCTAAACAAAAATTGATTATTTTGGCTAGGATGTAGGACCTATTTACAAATTTAATATAATCTTTTAGATTAATAAAATAAGCACGTTTTCATTTATTTACCTTTAGTCAAGTGGGGAAAGGCTTAATGGAAATTAAATCATCTGATATAATTTAACTAATTGCTAATCATACCTTTCCCAGCATTGTTAGTCATAAATTAAAACCAATTCTGTTTAGAAGCTTTACCAATACATCTTCAATGGCAGCCATATGGAATCATTTTTAGTCTGACATACAGCTGAAGAGGTTGCCTCTGAAGGCCCTCAATCTTAACTGTGGCCAGAAGAATAATTGACATCACCAGTTCTGCCCAGACTTTATGGGCATGTCAGGTGAGCTGACCTGTCAGGAGCGCAGTATGGACGATGTTAGGATTGCTGTTTTTCTCAGACCCTCAGAATTCTCTCTCCCCACTTAGCCTTTTGTTGTTTTCCTTTGAAACTTGCTGATGTGAGACTCCAACAGTGCTCTGGCTCAAGTTTTGCTCAGGATACTCTAAACAAGGACAGGCTTAAATACGAAGCCAGTCTTCACCAAGCAGGCTGTGCTGAGCTGGACTGCCAAGTGGAGAGGTTGGCATTGTGGCGTCTGGGACTGGAGCTGAATTGCCTCTGTGTGTCCTGGCTCCTCCCGGCACTTTTCATTCTGCCTGGCTTTCATCCTACATAGTAAAAGTGGTTGTTATTTTTCTGACTGGCCTCCAGACTCTCATTAGCTTTCTCTCTGAGTAGGGAGCACAGAAGAAATATTGCCGGCCAAGCAAAGGGAGGCTCTTTCTGGCAGAGCTGGGTTGTGGCGAATTCTCTCTAGGTGTTCCCAGGCCCCAGAATGGCACATGTCATTGCTAGCCTGCTGGGAAAACGCACTGGATCCAGCTGATGAGGCTTAGGAGCCTGTTAGAGTATGGGGATAAGAGATCTCTAGGTTCTCCTGAGCCCATACCCTGCCTCCTAAAGAGCCAGCCACACTCCAGAAATGAGTCTTTAAAAGAGCCAACTTGAATAGTTCCAAAGGATTTGAGTTTGGGGTTTCTTCCAGTCCAATTACTCTGCCCCTCCTGCAGTTTCCAGCATATGCTGTGCTAAAGAAACCGGTACCCATCCTCCAGGAGCTGTGAAGACTTTAGGGTCCCACTTTCCGAATGAGCATACAGCCAGGCTGAAGGATGTTTGGTGGTGCTCAGTCATCTATGAACTTGGCTTCTTCTGCAATCAGAGGGTTCCACAGAGTCTGGAAGTCACTTGGTGCCTGGCAGGTGCAATACGAGTCCTTTTATATGCATTATTCCATTTAACACCCTCAACAGACTACCAAAAGAGGTACTTGCTTTGGTACCCCTGCTTTTGCAGACAGACAATCTTTGCCCTGGTTTACAGTTGTTAAGGGGCAAGGATGCCAACCCAAGCAGTCTGACAGTAGCAACCCCAAGACAGTGGCTTCTCATATAAGCAAAGCCCTAAGGTGTTGCTTAGGGTTTACTTACCCCTGTCCTTGCATATATTTCCAGTGCACTTCAGAAGTATCCTGGAGACTGTGTTATTCAGAAGGCTTAAATGCCTGGGACTGGTTAGATCTTGAAGGCGTTTAATTTTGTTGTCTACCTTAGAAATCTTCTTCCTTTGTGGTAATAGGAACTGGTTAAGGGTAGGACACAGTAGGTAGACTCCATATCCAGAAAAATTTTACAGCAGGAAATAGATTCAGCTTCATTCTTGATGTAAAGAAGGGTTGCACTGCTGCTGGGGAAGGAAAACCTTCATTTAATATGAATGTTGCTAAGTGCATGTGATCTTAGCGCTCCTTGAGAGAAAATCACCCAAGGAAGGCAGGCTTCACCATGACCTCTGTGATCCCATCCATGCTTTCCTAGACTAGAGTGGACAGATTTTGTTTTTGTCTGAAACTGGAAATACACTAAGTAGCAACAACTAAGAAGGCTTCCAGCAAGAGCTGGGGACTGATTTGATGGGAGTATGTGTATTTGTATGTGAATACACAGTGCATGAGAAACATTCACTGAATTTAATTAATTTCCAAACATGCCAGACTTAACAATGAGACCTTAGCTTCTATTTATTTTCCCAGTTTGGTTTTAAATCTGAAACCTGTGGACTTTATACATATACATAGGGTAATAGGGTGTAGAAATGTACGTGTCTTCAAGCTGGCAGTTAGAAAGTCTTCATGAAGTGAAAAAATTTCAATATAGTCTGACTGTAGACTTAGATAAGCTATTTTTATTGAGTTAAAATGGTTACTTCAACAATGCATTCTGCTAATACAATAATTCCATGGCTTTCTCACATAATAAAAGTTTTTAATTATCTTCTAAACTTGGAATTTGTATACTTTTTAAAAATTGCTAGGTTAAGGCTTTCTGTGTCATTACCAGGCACGGACATGCAAAAAAGATCCTGAGAACTTACAGGAATACCACACTGCTACCCAGCTGCAGTGCACACATTTTATATTTTACATAATAAGGACAGAAGCTGAAGTGCCAAAGATGCTTATAAAAGATGGTGGCCAAAAATGGCTCCATAATAAGTTCACATGAATATACTTTTTATTGCGTGCTTTGTTTTACTGTAAATTATCTCCCAGAACAGATAAAACAACCAGAATAACGAAATTTAGGTCTGAATCCCAAGATCTCACCTGTGGTAGATGGCCCAGGTCTTGGTTTGTCACCAGAGTTCACTTCTGCCCTTCTTTTCCTAGCAAGGAGCCACCATGTAGGAGGCATGCTTATCAGCTTGTCACCACCAGAGAAATAGCCACAATTCATGTTGCCTTCAAAAACCCGTAGGCTGATGCAAAATTCAATGATCACACCATTTTTAAAGGATTTTGCACCTCCTTAGCAGGAATTGCCTTCTGTGTTTGCCAGGGTAAATCCTGTACGTGGTTCAGTTTGGTTTCTACTCTATTTCATTGGTGTAGTGCAGTTGTGTGGTGGGGGACCCAACACACACAGTGTAGTACTCACATGGCCATCATTTAAGGAGTGCTGGATGAGTGCTAGAATGCTTCCTCCAGGCAAAAGCTCCTCTCTGCCCCACATCTCATATCCAGGGTGGAAAGGAGCTAGTTATATGTGAAGTCACTGTGCTAGGGGTTGTGTATCTGTGATCTTGTTTGACCTTGCCAAGCCTCCTGTGACACAGACCCATCGTCCCTACTGTACAAACTTAAAGACAAACTATATATGAGAGGCAGAGCCCAGAGGCAAACTCAGCTGGCCCCATAGTTAAGCCCTGCTGTGTTCCCAGGTTGTGCATGTCATGCTCTGACGTCTTAGGAGTGTCAGAGGGGAGCATCTCTGGACCGCCATCTGGGCCCAGTGGCTGGAGACGGAGGGTGGCCTGGGAGTGCTCACACACAGCTGGGTTAACTGAACCGGTGCTCTTACTTCGGTGTGGCACGATAGGACTGGAGCCTGAGGCCTGGCCAGCGGCCACTGCATCCTGGTGGGATGAGCGGACTTATGGACCTCGGGAGTCACTCACAGGTAGTGGCAACAATGGCCTCAGGTCAGATGAGAAGAGTGCAGGTCTTGGCAGTCCGTTGGTGGCTTCCTCCTTCCCTCACCCACAGGCCAGTGGGAACCAGCTGTGTGACTTGGCCGGGCTGATGGCCAGGGCCTGGCCTTCATCCCTCTCTGGCAGACCCTCCCTCAGCCGTGTCTGGGCACGCCTTCCTTTCACTCCCTCCGCAGCATGGCGGACTTCGAGCTGCCAGCGTCATATTCCTCGTTCCCCTCGGGTTCTGGTATCTGCCTTTCTTTCGCACTTCTCTTGTGCACTTCATGTGAAAGCACCTTTGATTAAATTACAAATGGGGTAACACTAGAGAAGTCTTTATGGAGTTGAATCAAGCCAGTTTTGGAGATCATACAGGGTTTTTTTTTAATTTAAAAGGAAATCAAGAAAAGCAAATGTTACATTTTCTTATCAGGTTTATTATAGAGATGTGAAACTCTGTAAATGCCAGATAAAATAGGGAAAAAAGTGAGCATCCCATACTATCTTGGTGGTTCACATCTCACTGCCTGGTTGTTTCAGTCCCCAACATTCACGTGCTGCTCCCCACTTCTTTATTTCTTTATTTATTTATTGGTCTTTTTTGAGACAGGGTCTCACTATATGGCTAGGGCTGGCCTTGTGCTCACTTTGTAGCCCAGGCTGGTCTCAAACTCACAAGGTCTTCCTGCCTCAGCCTCCCGAGCGTTGCAATTACAGACATGCACCATCACGCCTGGCTAACACCGCTTCTAAGGATTGTCCTAAAGGTGACAGGGACGCAGTTATACACAAACAATTACACAAATGGTCTTGATCCTTTCTGTGTTCTTTTCATAAGCCCATGCCTTGGAAAAAGGGACCAGAATCAAAGTTAAAGAACATTTTACCAAATTTCTGTGCCATTTCTAGATGAATACACTGTGTATACATGACTTCAGGTGTGTTTAAAGCAGTTTTATGTATGTATTAAAACAGCTTCTTCATGAGTGTTGGTTCTGCAAAGACCAGAGCCCAGCCCCAGGCCCTGATGTCATTCAGTAGCTGGAGGGTCAGGTTCGTGACTTACCCCATACAGAGATTTATTGTGTGCGGCTGGGCTTGGACTTTGGAGAATATAGCCCCTTCACATAAAATAGACAGAAATGTAAAGCTCAGGAGCTGGGAGAGAGCTCTCTTTCAGAAGCAGGGGTAAGGGAATCAGCTTGGACAACATGGCCCTGGTCTCTCAAGTTAGTGCCTGAAAATGTCCAGGAAGCCTACATATTTCTCTCTCTCTCTCTCTCTCTCTCTCTCTCTCTCTCTCTCTCTCTCTGTCTCTCTTTCTGTCTCTGTCTCTCTCTATCTCTCTCTCTGTCTCTCTCTCTCTCTCTCTCTCTCTCTCTCTGTCTTTCTCTCTCTCTCTCTCTCTCTCTCTGTCTCTCTCTCTCTCTCTCTCTCTCTCTGGTACTGGGGATTGAACTTAGGACTGTGTGCTTGCAAGGCAGGCGCTTATGCTGCCAAGCTAAACCCCCAGCCCCCATATTTCTCTTAAGCACTGGGTGTATTTCTATTTTGAACAGTTATCTTCCCATATTTATAGAGATCCACAGTCCCTTATTTAAAACCCTTTGGGGACAGGTGAGTTTTGAAATTCAAACTTTTTGGTTATTGGAAGATAACATGGCACATGTACATTACATTTTGCCTACAGGACATCTCCCGTAATTGAATTAATAACTCCGCAGGAAGAATATATGTAAATTTACAGTGAGTCCAATCCATATAGACTATCAATAGTCTCACATCTTTTCAGTGTGGTTTTGACACCTCATGAGGCCAAATGAGTCACGAAACTTGTGGTTTTGATTTTGGAATTATTCATGCGTCTAGTCACTGGAGGTTCATTTTCTTAGCTTTAAGGAGGATCTTGTAATCTATTTTGGATTAATAGAGCTGACTGGCGTGAAACATGGCAGTCTTTGAAGATTTTGCAAATTAATGTCTAAGAGTTATTTGAAGGCCCTCTTGTAGGCCTGGCACTTTTTGGCTACACTGTCAGGCTTCCCCGGGTGCTTTTTCTGTGGCTGCAGTAACAGTATAGGAGGCAGAGTCGATGTGACGTAAGGAGCAGTCAGCCCAAGGCTGTTGGTGATGTTCTTATAAGTCTCCCTTTAACTCCATTCTGTATCTCCTCTTCTTTCCTGGCTCTTGACTCAGGATTGTCCGGCTGGACAGTATTCTCTGAGATTTCTAATACGGTGATAAGGATCACCACAGGTCGCCAAGTGGCTGTATGCTAATGTCTCCCCTTCCAAGGCTCCTAGATAGCCGTCCTCACTCCCACCAGGATCACAGACACTGCCTGCACTTCCAGAATGTAGCCCGAGCCATCTCTCCTGGTAACCTCCCTCTATCCACCAGCCATGTTCTAACTCCTGCATCCTCTGGGCATCCTCTAAACGCCCATCATCCTAGAGCCTTTAGCCACACTGGCCATACCACTTCATACTGAAAACAGAAAGCTCAAGATGTAGGCTCTGCTAGAAGGGACAGTTGGCCTAGAGTTGGGCTGGAGGGCAGATCAGGAACTGAAGCCCTATCTCATTTAACAGCTCTGGGATGGAGTGTTGAAAGTCTCCTGGTGAGCCTCATGTATAGCTGAAGTTGAGGGTTACTGACCTTGCCTAGTATATTCTTCTGACCTAGGTGTCCCCAGGCCCACCCCACTGGTCCATAGAGGGCAAGATTCTCCAGGTATCCTGATTCTGAAGACCTGATCCTTGGCCCAGCGTGACATAATCATGATGACATTCTCTTCTCTCAGTGAATTAGTTTTGTCTCTGGGGATTGGTTCCAGGACATCTGATTTGGGATGCTCCAGTCCTTTATATAAAATGATACAGCATTTGCACATAATCTACATACACGTTCCCATGTATTTTCAGCTTAGACATAATTTCTAAGGAATATCCCCAATGGGCCACTGGCGGTAGGACCTGCAGTACAGAGGACTGTCTGTACTCATCAACCCGATGACCTTCATTTACATCTTGGAAGCCTCTGTCCACAGCTGGAGTCCAGGGCCCCCCAGTGCAGGAAACAAGCTATGCCTTTCTCTGCCCCTGCCGCATTGTGACTAGCTGTTCCCTTCGTTCCAGTGCCGGGACTACCTGGGCGGCTGGCTCATGGGCGACCTGTGTGAGGACCTGTGTGTGGCAGGGGAGCTGCTGTACCAGCGCTGTCTGTACTACGAGCGTGGCAAGAAGGTGCTGCAGGCCCAGTGGCGTGGCCGGCCCGTTGTCCTCAAATCCAAGAGGGAGGCCTTCTCCAGTTTCCCAGCCCTTGGCCTGTTGGAGGCGGAGGCTGGACAGGGAACCCAGGGTGTGCGGGACGCAGAGCTGCTCCTGATGGTGGCTGCAGAGGTTAAAAATGCCTTAGGCTTGGAGCTGTCCAACAGCAGCATGGGACCCTTGTGGCCTGGCCATCGGGGCCCTGGCTGGAGGCAGCAGCTGGCCAGTGCATGGTCCCTGCTGCAACAGGAGGAGTACGTGTATTTCAGCCTGCTGCAGGACCTCAGCCGTCATGTCCTGCCTGTGCTGGGCTCTTGTGGCCATTTCTATGTGGTGGAGTACTTGGCTGCTGGCAGCCCTCACCACAGTGCTCTCTTCCCCCTGGACGAGGCTGCCCCCCAGAGTGGCCGGGCCCAGGACAAGGCCATCAGCCGCATCGCTCTCAGCTTCCTGGACATGGTGAGTCATTTTGAAAATGACTTCTCCCACCGCCTCCACCTCTGTGACATCAAGCCTGAAAACTTTGCCATCAGGAGTGACTTTACGGTAAGCCATGTGGGTGGGTGTGTTTATAGCATAGAGAGCAGTGCTTGTGGTCCATGGGGGAGGGGGAATAAAGTCCCCCTGAAAATTTGAGTGGCCTATAGCCTCAGATGAGTCCTATGTTTCAGACACTTCCTTGCCAGTGTTGATAAAAGGATTTAAATGCATCTTACCTAAGGGGGGGAGTTGGGTGAAGGATTCTGCAGCAGGAGGCAGAGGTGAGGTTTTTGCTCTTGTACCAGAAGGCTGCTCTGGTGCCTATAAGCAGCTCAGTGGCTTCCTAGAGCTAATGTCCAGCTGGCTGTCCTGAGGGTCTATGTAGCTTGCAGAAGGCAGGTGACCAGCAACTGCGAAGGGTGATGTGGAAGAGGTCCACAGGGCCATTTGTGTTCAGACCACCTGTGCACCATAAAAATATGCACCATTTTCAGTATTTTCTTTCAGAGAGGTTTTGGTTCATTTCTAGTCTTGTGTAAATATCTAGAGGGACACATGGTGTTCTAGTGCCTTTTATCAGCTGACCTGCGTGGAAGTCGAATCTGATGCTGTACTGCCTGCAGAGGGCAGGTGAACTTTTATCTCTCACTGTGGGGCAGGAAAGATAACCAAGGCAGGGAAAAGCAACAAAAGGGTTTCTTGTAAAATAACCTCTGCCCTGGGCTGAAACCAGCATGTCAGGTTAGTGCTGTGTCTCTAACCCCAATAGTGGCCTCAGTGCCCACCTGGTCAGGTGCTGGGTTATCTGGCAGGAAGTGGCGGCAGGTTGCCTGTGCTGTAGTAGGCATGGGATGGGTGCTAGGGAAGGACAATGCTCTTGTTCCCTGTCTTGCAACAAGTTTGTTCTAATGCGTCAAGTGCTGACAGGTGAGTGACCAGGGCAAGGTGGTCACTCTGGGCACTGGCTTGTGTTGGGCTAATGATCTTCATCCTGGTTAGAACATAATTGGGGAACAAGAAGATACTGTTGCTGTTTGCTTAAAGCAGTTTGAAATAGGAACTAAACTTTCCACCAATGTAAATTCCTTGCCTAATTAAGCCTTTGTATGTACAACGTTGTAGCATCTTGTCCTCACTGATTTGTTCTAATTTACTGTCTCAGGCGGCCTCAAAGTGGCTGAGAAGCCAGGGGTGACTTAAATGTGAAAAGGACCAAGTCAGAAGGTTATGGCAGGTTCCAGAAGGTTCTGTAGGGTTCCATGAGAGTCTGCACACTGGCAGGAAGCTCTAAAAGAGCTCCATGCAATGCTCAGAGCTCCATGTAGCCTCTCAGGTGAAGGGTGAAGCTATAAGGGGCTCAAGTCCTACTGCCTGGCCATATCCTTTCTTAGAGCTGAAGTCAGATCACCATCCTGGCCAAGGCTTCCTTGCTTAATGATCAAGAAGAGCATGTGGTAGAAAGAAGGGCTGTTGCTCTCCACCTCAGAGAAGTCCTGGAAGGTAGCTACTGGGGCTGGGACATAGCCACCCTGAGTCCTGGGAACATGGCCCCCTGAAGTGCTCCCTGGTCTTGGCCAGTTGTACAGGCTGGTCCTCATGATGTAATCCCTCGTTTGTTCATCCTGCAAATGAACTTGTTAGGGAGGGGCACTTGTAGGTACCATGAGAGTTAAGGATTTTAGAGGATACCTGCATTATGAAGTTGCTAGAGCTGGTAGGTCTTCCATGTGGAGTGGGCCACATCAGATCTTCCTGTGTGGTATCTGCTAAGCATCTACTTGTGCAGCCACCTAAATTATGCCTCCAAAATCTTGTGCACAGTAGACATAAAATATTTGTCTGGTGGAATGCTATGTGCTCCTTGTCCTTACCCCATCTGTGCTTTGCTGAGCCCTTCTGAGCTGTTACGTCTGCTGTGTTTCTGGCATGGGTGGGGATGGGGTAGGGGCAGGAGGATCCCCTTCACCAACCCCCTTCATCTTTACCTCTTGAACATAGTGAGATAAAGGTCAGTTATTTTATCTAAGATTTTACAATTTTTACATGAAAACCAAAAGTACATATCTCATCAGAGGACTTGTTAGAAATACAGATTTTCAGACTCTATCTCAGACCTCCTAAATATGAAACTCTAGCAGGGGTAGGACTCTGAAATAAACATCACCTCTTAGGTGTTCTGCTGTGTGTTCAAGTCTGTGAGTCAGGTGCACTCAGGTCCCAGCAGGAGCATCCTGCCTGTGAGCCTGGCTGCCCTGTGTGCGCATGTGTGTGCGCATGTGTGTGTGTGTGTGCGCATGTGTGTGCGCGCGCACGCTGCCAGATGGATGTAAGGATAGGAAGCCAAGTGCTTCACTCATCTGCAAGCCGAGCACCCTGCAGGTCCTGAGAATGGGTCCAGCTGCTACAAATGAATGGCTAGGAAAAGACCAGGACTCCAAATGATGGCCAGTACCAGATCCTTTTGAGCGGATGAGGTTTCCCACTCAGTGGAATACTTGCAGTCAACGGAATATGAAACAGTTGCAATCAATGGAGAAGGAGATAATTCTCATCCATCTTTTGGTTCTGATGACTTTTGGGGGGAAGTTTAAAGATGGTGCAACACAGGTAATTTCATGCAGGAAGAATTTTATGATTTTCTTAATGTTAAGAAATATTATGCAAGATTTTCTTGTTTTGTTACTGTATTTTAGGTGTATAGGGGTGTGCTTACCAGAGCTATAGTTCATTCTAGGCTGTGCAATATAAATTAAAAGATAAATCTGGCTCTTTCTGTGAGATGATGAAGAAACTATCAGAAATGGCAAAGCAAGGAGCAAGGAGCTGGGACTCAATCCAGGAGCCTGGAGAGAGCAGCAGAAACTACAGAAACCGAGAAAGGTCTTGTAGAAGCCCCAGTAATAAATCATAAAGATTCTTTGGCATAGCCCTCATTCATTTTTAGTGAATTGATCAGGCTAAGTAATGAAATTACCATTTATTTTAGCTAAATAAGGAGATAGAAAATATTGACTAAAATGATAAATTCTGCTCTCCACGGCTGAGTTACTTGTATTAGGCAAAGTCCCTTAAACAGAGAAAAGTTGTAGAGAAGACTGATGTTTTGACACTGACCTGTGAAGGCTTGTGAAATGCCACCAACTCCATCAGATCCATCAAATTTCCTAATGGCTTCTTCTTAATACCTTGAAGCTATAAGCTGCTCAACTTGGGCAGACTCCAGATTTTCTCAAATTTGAGCTCATTTTTTTTTTTTGTATCCAGGTGCTGGAGGAAAATCTGCATAATTTAGGAGTTATTCTTTTTCTGTTCTTGAAGCCTGTTTTGTTTGAAGCCAGAAAGATAAATCTGAGCTTCCAGGAGGTTGTCAAATTCTCCTGCTGACAATGGAACTTAGTAGCTATCACTGTTAGGTCAGAGTCCATACAGATCAATCCAAATTTGAACAGTTCACCATTTCTCCAATGCTTCCTGTGACTGGTCATGGAACCAATTGATTCTGCTATCAGGTCATAAAACTCAGATTATTGAGCACCTATTTCTGCCATGTCTCCCACAAAATTGCCACTCAAAAACAATTGCTTATACTCAGGGAGAGGATTTACATTATTTGTATCTCGCAACTTTTGTAGTCCTGACTTTGATGATGTAAAGAATGCAAAAATTGTTAGAATCAAAGTAGTCATTTGTGTCAACCCTAACAACAACAACAACAAAACGCAAAACAGGGTTTTGAAGGAAGGGTTGATGTGTGTAACTATCCAAATTGTAACTATCTCAAAAGACTTAAAACTCAGCCCTGCTCTGAGGCCACTGCAGCCTTAGTCTAAAGCACGTCTCCAAGGACATCCGCCCAGCACCTCAGACTGACACCACCCTTTTTATTAATCATTGTGATCAAGTCCACTGTTTCAAAATATCTGATGTATTCTCCCTCATTTTTGTCTTTAAAAACTTCCTCCTGCCCCAAACTCCGTGAATATGCCCCGAGTCTACCAGCACATATGTGTTTTCATTGCAGTTCTAGTCCAAGTAAACATGAGAATTCCTTGGAGAACCTCTTTCTGATTATTTTTGTTATTTAACTTGACAAAGGCCAGAGATCAAAGTGACAAAGTGACAGAAGGAAAATTCACTTTTAAACCTTTGTGCTTTTAAAGCTGAGAAAATGTTCAAAGATGAAAAGTGATACTTGTGATTATAGTTCTAAATCCAAGAATTTAACTAGTTATAGCAAAAGTTCTTTTTGCAATTGAAACTTTGCAAAAATCTACATCAGTTGCTTCTGTCAAAGAAAAACCAGATAAATTCTTTGAAGCAAGCCATTCCCCGGGACATGGTCTGGGCTTTTTGCTTTGTCTTGCAGAGTTATATGTCACCTGCAATCTGAACAAACAACCTCAATGGCCCGAGATGGAGCTGCTGTTAAACAGGCTCCCTCTTCTGGGGCTATGAGTGTCATTTTGGTCATTGTGTGCTGCATTGATTACAGGTGGTGGCCATCGATGTGGACATGGCCTTTTTCGAACCTAAAATGAGGGAGATCCTGGAGCAAAATTGCACAGGGGATGAAGATTGCAATTTCTTTGACTGTTTTTCAAAGTGTGACTTGAGGATAAACAGGTGTGGAGCTCAGCGTGTCAACAGCAACCTGCAGGTGAGGAAGCATGTATCCGGGGCTAGGGAAGGCATCTGCTCTCCAGGTTCCTCTCCCGTGTGGTGGCGCTGAAGATTCTTTCAGTGGAGTTGAAGAGCCACTGTTCCCACCATCTGGGCTCAACATGTTCATGAAGGCAGGACAGGGAAAGTTCTTTGCTGATCTTGTTGCCTTTCCTGAGTGGTCAGTCAAGTATACAATGGGGGTCTAATGCACAAAGGCCTCAGAAGAGTCCACCTGCTGGATCTCCTCTTGCCTGTAGCTCTGCCTGAGCTGGAAAAGTGGCAGAGATGTTTTCTCTGAATCCTGTGTCTGCATCTACATAACAGTCTCGGTCTTGGTTACTTTTCTCTCATTGCTGAGACAAAGCACCTGACACCCGACAGTAGAGAAGGAAAGGTTTATTTAGCTTATAGTTTTTGGAGGTTTTAGTCTATAATCAGCTGACTCTAACACAGGGTGGCATGGCACAGGGGCAGTACTTCAAGGCAGCAGCCACAAAATCACCCAGAGCAAAAAGGGGGACGAGCAAGTGTGTTTTCCTCCCTTATAATGTAAGCAGCTCACCCTCCCACCCTGGAGGCTAGCACTCACATCACCTCTGTGCCCTCCTCTTGCACATGCTGAGGATATGATCTGTTAGTTAAATGCCTAAACTTCTCAAGTTGACACAATGTATCAACCATAGCAGTCTATCCCTTTGTCAACTTGGCAGCCAGACACATTTCTTTAAACCTGTTTCTAGATACAAGTCATGATTATTCATACATTTTCACAACTTGAACACTATAACACAGGTTTAACAATCCCTAACAACAAGAAGTAAGTCTATCAATATTATATTACGTTAGAACTCTAGATTTCCACTCCTGGCTCCCAAACACTCATGCACATACCTTTATACAAAAGGCATTTAGTCCATCTGTAAGACTTGTTACAGTCCTAACAATTTCAGTGTTGCTGAAAAGTCCAAGTCCCAAGTCTCCTCTGAGATGTAAGGCAAACTGAAAGCTCCTGTACAAATGAAAACAAAGTAAAACACTTCTCACATTCTATGGCACAAGATAAACATTACCATTCCAAAGGGTACAAATAGGGAAACAAAGAAATGGTACCAAAGCAACTCCAAAATCCATCAGGGCAAACATTAAGTCCTGTAGTTCCCCATCCAGTATCTGAAAGCAATCTGGTTTTGAGCTCCAAAAGGCTTGAGTGACTCTAACCCCAGGACACTTTGGTGGTTGTAGCTCCCACAGCTTCTCTCTTGGGCTGACTTTGCTCCCTTCTTGCCACTTTCCTTAGATGATCCACGCTTCTGGCTTTTCCAAACTTCTGGGGTGTCCACTGCACCTTCGGCTTTACACTCATAGCTTTACTCACTGCCCTGTCAGATACACTGCCTGGCCTCTCAGGCCTTCTGAAATTGTGGTGGAAGCCTTTTCAACCTCAGAACTCTTGCATTCTGTGTGCACCTAAAAACAGTACCATGTGGATGCTGCTAAGGTCCACTGCCAGCTGGAGTAGTAGCCAGGCTTCCCTCTCCCTTAGCTGTAGGGGTCAAGTGCCTGGAGTACCGAGCACTCTGAATCCAAGTCTGAGGAACAAATTGTTTTTGTTGCCACCATTCTGGGACATGGTACTCTGCAGCTTTCTCCTCAAAGCAAAGTCTATCACTTTTGCAGCTTTGGAGTTACAAAGGTTCAAGACTTGCTGGTTTTTGTGATGCCTTCAGACCATCTTTTCTGTTCTCTTCCTTCTCAACAGTCAGGATTTCCTTACCTGTGTATTTTCAGTCCACAGCTTTATTGGAGCTTCCTTTCTGGCCAAACACACAACACTTTAACTCATTCTTTTGGGCTTTTTGATTTGGATTCTTAGCATAGATCTGATTAAAAAGCCCTCAACAATAACCATACTACAACCTCAAAATTCAGCTGCCTTGAATTTTTTTCTGCCTGATTAATTAGTCTATCCCCCTTAATCTCAGTCTCAAGCAGTGTTTCTGGACATGAGAAAAATGCAGACAAACTTTCTGCCAAGCCATAATATACATCATCTGGAATCCAGCACCCAATGCAGTCCTTTGAAGCAGAAACCTCCTGAGTGTGTTCTTTACCAGCAGGATTTCTATCAGCATTCTGGTCTTCTGAGCTCTGACCAGAATTTCCCCCACAGAACAGCCTGAGGCATTCCAGCTTTATGATTTCAGGTGACATCTGTAAGCCTTTCTAAACTCTTCCCACCAGCTATTCCGAATGGCTCTTGAACCACATGGTCAGGTACAGTCACAGCAGCAGCCCCCACTCCAAGTACCAAATTCTGTCTTGGTTACTTTTCTCTTGTTGCTGTGACAAAATACCTGAAAAAGTAGGGAAAGAAAGGTTTACTTAGCTTACAGATTTTAGAGGTTTCAGTCCATAATCAGCTGGCTCCAAGGCAGGGTGGCATGGCACAGGGGCAACACTTCAAAGTAGCATCCAGCAAAAGCAGCCAGAGCATAAGGAGGAAGAGCAAGCCTCTTTTCCTCCCTTGCATTATAAGCAGGCTACCCCACACCCAGCATGAGTGTAGCACCTACACCACCTGTGTGCCTGCTTTTGCTTACCGATGAGAGATGGAGTTTACAACCTTAAGTATAAGAAGGGCTCCTGCAGATTCTTTAAGAGGCAAGGGGACCCAAAGAAAACTGGGAAGAAAAAACAGTTACCTGATACATAAATGATGCAATACAAATGGCCAAAGAGCATGGAAAATTATTTACATACATATTAAAGTTCAATGAATAAAAGTTTCCTTTGTCCATTGATAACAGTCATTAAAATGCTGTTAATTAATGACAGGAGCTTCAGAAACAGACGTGTCTATATTAACATGATTATAAATTGTATCTCTACGTAGAATAAGATGTTAGAAACATTCATGCTGAGCGATTTGAGTTGTCCATATTTCTGATTATGGCTCCTGGATAACTCCTAGAAGCAAAATTGCATGACCTTTAAGGACATGAAATAATATGAAGTATTTAAAAAATAAAGATTACTATTCAGAATTTATGAGATGACTCCATCTTTGTTAAATAGTATGATTGGAGAGATAAATATCAAGGTGTCAAAAGCAATTATTTATGAATGGAAGAATTATAGTTCTTATTTTCTACAATCTGTAAATTTTATACTTTTTTAACTTAAATTTGACTCAGAAGATCTCTGCCCTGGGTAAATAGATGGATGAATCAAAGGAATGGAATTGTTAAAATTTCAGAAATGGACCTAATGAGGTGGGGGGACTTAGACTGCGGTAAGGTAGGCATGCCAGCCCATTGGCGGAGGCTGGTTATATAGTAATACCTGGTGTTGGATCAGGTTAACACCTAGTTTCACTCTTAAGTCACACTAAATTACAGATGATTCAAATACAGGTAAAAATTGAAATCATAAAAGTCCCTGGAAAACACTGAAGAAGTATTCCTGTTATCCTAGTATAGCACAGACCTGTATAAATATTGAACTGAGTTCAGAAGACAAAGGAAGACGAGTTGCAAATTTTACCTATCTTAAAAAATCCACACTGTCAAAAACAAAGCAAAACTACAAAAAAAAAAAAAGAGCAAATTTTAAAAGTTTGCAATCTCCCTTACAGACCGGGAGGCCCGCAGACAGCTAGAGGCCCATTCCCAGCTCCTGGGGCTTACTTCTTAGAGGCAGCACCTAGGAAGTGGTCCATGAGGGAGGAGGGAGGACAGATCCTTGCCTCAGTAAAGAATAACTCCATAGGTTCTTTTTCTTTGTTCCCCTGAGAGGGGGCCCAGAGAAAATCCCTCAATGAATCCTTGCACATAAACCTCCATCTCATCATCCATTTCCCAGGGAACCAACCCAGAGAAGGCGTTAAATCTCCTTGAACAACTAGAAATTAATACAAAAAAACCCCAACAATCTGATAGAACTTTGGGCATAAAATTGACCATTCACTGAAAAACTGCACATTAAGCCATTTTCACCCTTCTGTTGGAAAAATGAGAGTGTGTTGTGAGGTCACTGGAGGACAAGCATCCTTGAATCTCTTGCTGAGAGAGTGGAAATTGGTGTGACTTTATGCGTCGGTTTGGCAATATCTAACAAAACAAAAAAAATACACACACCCCTTGACCCAGAAATTCCCCTCCTAGAAATGTACGCAGATGTGCAAGAGGAAAATCACAAACACATGCACAGTATTTATTGCTTACATTGCTCGCCAGAGCAAAAGTCGGTAAAATGCTTCGATTTCCATCAAGAGGAAACTGTTTAACAATTTATGATAAATCTACACATTTGGGATGTAGCTGTTAGAACAAATGGAATATACTTACAAGAATTGATTTGGAGGGATCCCGCTGCCATATAGCTAAATGGGAATCAGAGCTTTAGAACACTATGTAGAATGCTGCAGTTTGTATAAAATAAAAAGAGGGAAATGCGTGAGCAGTGCATGGTGTCCAACTTGTTCTTTTTATTAGCACTAGAGAGTGAACTCAGGGTCTTTTTAAATTTTGAGATATGGTCTCATTAAGACTCTGAGTTTCCCAGGCCGACCCTCCTGCCCCAGCCTCCCAAGTGCTATGATACGCACCACCACGCCTGGCTAGGTATCATACTTGGGTTCTAGCTTTTAAAAGAAAAATTTATAATAAAATATATAAAAAATGAATATTTGTCACTTTCTACATGAACTGTATTATATATTTTATATGCAGCCCAAGATGATTCCTCATTAGTCATTACAACCCTGGCAACCCAAACGGTTGGACAGTCCTGGCTTTCAAAGAACGGTGGACCCAGCTCTTGCCTCTCAGGATCAGGCTGGTTGGAGACTGAGAGCAAAATACACCTTTTCCAGTTTTGTACATGAAATTCTATTCTCTATTCAAGACAGAACTAAGACGGTGTGGCGGCACGTGCCTACAATCCCAGCACTCTGGGAGGCTGAGGCATCAGATTGAAAATTCAAGCTCAGCCTGGGCAATTTAGCAATTAAATTAGGCCTTGTCTCAAAATGAGAAATAAAAGGGGGCGGGGATGTAGCTCAGTATGAAGGCTCTGAGTTCAGTCCCCAGTGCCGCAAAAAGAAAGAAAATGGTTTTAAAATGAATCCTTGGCATTACAAGGATCAAAAACTTTAAATTAGAATTATTTGCCCTTTAGGGAACAGTGATGCTATAAAATGGTATTAAATGACTGTGACACAGGGTGATGGAGAAAAGTAAAGCAGTGTGTCCTAGTCAGCTCCCCCAACAGGGAGCAGTATGAACATGGCAAACAACACTGGCGGGTGAAGTTTCTGAGACTGCCGTGTCAGGGATTTGCATAACCTATAATTTAAGGCTGTGAGACAGTGCCTTAGCTTCTGACGTCTGTTCCTCAGGTATTTCAAAGTGCCTCAGGAGGGCCCTCTGCCCCAGCCTTCCCTTTCCAGTGTACTTTATTTCTATGAGCCTCGAAGGGTTGTAAGGTAGCAGCATACATTTGCATTACCCGTTTTCCCAAAGCATTATTTGGCTTCAGGACAACCCTGCCAGGTGGCTCTCACTGCTGATCTGACCCATTTACACAGGAAAGCCTCCCTCTGCAGGAGGTGCGGAGCAAGGCTGCCCTGGATTGTAGTGGGCTGTTCCTTACACAGCAGCTCCTGCCTGTGACTCCTGCACTCCTTTTTCTGAAAATGTGTTCAGTCCGCAGTGAAGCATTGGTTGAATCTTTTGCCCACTGCTTTGTGGCTAGAAATGGACTTTTCCACGGTACAGGGGTGGCCCTCTGCTCTCCAGGCATGGTCTTTTCTGGTGCTGAGTGGTTTATGCTGTGGAAGGGAAAACCCTTAGAGTCTGATGAACTCCATAGCGCCCTCCCTGAAGAAGCGAAGCAAAGGTCTGCGTGAGAACTAGATGTGGACCTGGGAACTTCTTCAGATAATTCGCTACCCAAAATAACTGCTCACCTTTTTGCCCCTCAGGTCATCTGTGACAAAATATTCCACCGCTGGTTCTGCTCGTCTCCCAGGAGCCCTGCGGTGTCCTGGCCACTGCGGCTGCAGTTACAGCAGGCTGTGCGGGAGTGTGCGGGCTCGGCAGGCCTGGCCTGGAGCTCCTGGGGCGTGGCCCCGCAGGTCTTCTGGAAGCTTCGCAGGCTGCTCCAGGCCACACTGAAGGAGCTGCAGGATGCAGAGGAGTAACCAGCCTGAACCTGCTCACCTCAGGAATGTGACCCCGGAGTGCTCTTCTCCGCAGCTGTTCTGGATGGGACACTTTCACTGTGCCGGGGAGTTATCGCTAAGATACTGCTGCACCCTGTCCTCCGAAGCGCACAGTTTTACTGCTGTCACACCTTGCTCCACCGTTGTGAGTCGGGCCTCCATGCCACCCCAGCCAGTGCCCTCTGGTTTGGTCCTGGCCCCAGCCCCTGTTGAAAAATGAACTGCGCGGGGATAGGAGGCGTTTTGTTTTGGGGAGGCTCTTGGAAAACACAAACTACAATGTGCAAGATTCTGCAGAGAACACTCTCACCTAGCCTCAGAGCAAAAGGAGGCCCGCTGCTCTTTCCTGTAAACCATTACTGCATTTCAGAAACTGTGTGTGCATAGGAATGAGTGTGCAATGCAAACTTGTGTGAGCATGAAAGGACAGTGTGCATATAATGTGTGAATATGCTGGTGAATAAGTGTGCTCACAGGAGTGTCCATGTGTAGGAAATGGGTGTATGCCTATGAATGTGTGCATACAGGCATGTGAATGTGGGCTCATTTCTGTGAGTGTGCCCATGACTATCAGTAACTGCACATTTGATTGTGCTCATGATTATGTGTACACTCTGAGTATATGTGCACAGGAACACAAGTGAGCACATGCATCATTGTGCCTATACAAGTGTGAGCATGTGCACATGACTGAGTGAGTGAGTGTGCACACAAGTGCATGAGTAAGTTTGCACACACATGTAAGCAAGTGATGTGGGCAGGTGAGTGTATGGGCCTTGTGCATGTTGGGTTGGAGAGTGATTTTTGTAGCGTTGACTCTGGGAAAACCTTGCCTGGCTATTAAAGAATTATCTTTTTCTTTAAATGCAATAAAAAAGTTGCACCTTTGGTCACTGGGATTCTCATGGGAGAATATATGTGGCGTCTTTCAGTATTTTCCATTTGTGGAATCAGCAGATTTTATGGATCCTGTTTTAGGGAGCACTTTACCACTTACTGCAACACATCTTTCTTCTGAGCAGGGAGCTGGGTTTGCTGAACTCAGAGTTGTCTGGCACTTGAAAGAGAATTTAGGTAGTGTGAGTGCTGGGGTGGGCATGGGCCATGGCAGGACTGAAGCCACTGCTTTCTGCTGACTGATGGAAGCACAAGCCGTGGGCGTCAGGTCCTACTCTGACACAATGTGTTCTTCTGTAGAGAGACACCCCAGTGAGCTTCTCCTGCAGTGGAAGAGCCCCGCATAGAATGGGCTGCTTTCTGTGCTGACCTCCCATGGTTGTAAGATCCACACACAGCCAGGGAGTCCTGCTCAAGTCGGGTACGTGAGTTCTCAGTGAATCAGAACCAAAAACTCAGGAACAGAGAAGCCAAGAAAGATGCAATAGTAGAGAGGTGCAGGAAGATACGCTGGTGGCTTACAAGTAGAAAAAGACGCAAATCGTAAATTTTAAAACTGTGCAAATGAACAATTTCCTATTTCTCCTGACTCTCAATCTGTTTCTAATCCAGACAAAATTTCCTTAGGACATTTCTCCATCCTCTGCACTCTGAGTTCCTCTGAGGAACTAAATTATCAGAGACTGCACAGCCCTGATTCTGCAGCCCTGCAGAGTGTGTGAAGGCCCGCAGTTGACTGCCCTTCCAACCCATGACCCTCTCTCTCCACCTGCACCGGCCGGAGACCCTCGGCCTCTTCTAGTCCTGCAGGTGGAGATTCGCTTTGCGTCTGTTTGTTGGTGGGACCACATCAGTCACCCTTGTGGCAGGAGTTAAAGCCCAAGCTGGCAGATTCTCACAGCTAGCATCTGGCCTGACCCTTAGCAAGGCTTCCAGTGCCCTGACACGTGGTATGCCTGGTGTCTTGTTTTGCTTTGGAGCAGGTTTTTACCTGTGGAAGGGTCACCTGAAGACGGTGTGGGATCAAAGTGTCCTTCAGTCCATGTGGGGAGGTTAAATGTGTCTCCAGTGCCTGGTCCTGGGATTGTAGCTCTTCATTAGTGGCACTGAGCTCCCTGGCCAGACAGCAAAACTGGCTAGGGAAAGGGAAAAAGTTAGTTTTCATTTCAACTGAAATGGAAACAAATGTTTTTGTTTACCACGGAAACTGTGTAATATATAATTACCCAATACAATAGTGGTTTTATTGCTGAAGGGAACCATTTTATCTCTTTCTTTTATTTTTCCCTAGCCAGTTACTTTCTGTTTCTCTGTCTGTCTGTCTGTCTGTCTGTGTGTCTCTCTCTGGCACACACTTTCATTTTCCATCTCCTGTAGTGCAGTGACTCTTAAGCTATGTGGTAAAATTTTATTTTTTGTTTATTTCCAAACACTGGCAAAAATTATTTTATACAGTACAATAGAGAAACACTGTGTGCGTCAGTATTTAACTTTCTTGTGTGTGTGCATGTGCATGTGCATGTGTGTGCGTGTGTGTGCCAGGATACGCCCAGGGTCTTGCACATGCTAGACGAGCACTCTACTGCCAAGCTATGTCCCTAGTGTTATAGTTAACATTTTTAATGTGACAAATGAAATCACTTCTTGTTGATCCAGTTGAGCAGCAGCGGTGCTCCGAAGGGGAGATGTCTACCTAAAGGATTCACATGCTTTGTTTTAATAACATTCACAGCAGACAAAACACTTTCAGAGCTAAATTGATGGGAACTGAAAAGATGATAAAGGAAGCTGAGCAAACTAAGTTTTATCCAAAGCAAGGAAGTATTTAATTACTTTCTCCTCTTTCATCAGAAGTCAACTTTCAAAATTTATCTTGATAGATTGTAAAATTGTCTTTTGATGATAACAACGACTCCTCTGCTGTAGGCCTTGTCGCCTTACAGCTGATCCAACAAGGTTCTGCTGCGTGAATGTCGTGGGGCCCAGACTGTGTGAGTGTGTGGATCCCTGAACTGGCCCCTGAGGGGAGGGGTGTCCCAGCAGTGTCACCGGAAGGGCTTGTGGAAATACTGCCAGCATTGTGAACCCTTTCCTATCTCTTTCCCTGATACGAATCGCTAACAGGTCACCACATGCCTCCTTTCCAAAACCCACCATGCACACCTCCTATGGGCCTGTCCCATGCTAGTCCTACCTGGCCAGCCTTTTTGGTGCACCCAGGATGGAATCTTGGACTTTAAATTATCAGAAGAGCAACAACTATTTTTTTTTTTTGTCTTTTTCATTTTTATCAGTACCAGGGATCGAACTCACGACCGCCTGCTTGCAAGGCAGGTGCTTATGCCGCTGAGCTAAATCCCCAGCCCCGCAACAACTATTTCAAAACCTGATTTAGAAGTTGTTCTTTCAACATGTGGAGGTGCAAGAGTTTGGTTAAAATTTTCTAAAATCGACAACCATATGAAGAACCTCTTGCGCATACTGTGCTGGTGCCTGAGGATGGTAAATGAATGCTACTCTGCCTCTATTCCCACAGAGTCTGGGGGCATAGCACCATGAGAAGAACGCCCCCTCTGCCTGCCTGACATCCTTGTGTCACCTCTACTCTGTCTTTCTAAACTTTGGGAACAGCCATCCGTGTTAATGGCTGATGGAGTGATTATTGATTACAACTGAGCAAACCTACCTCCCAGGTTTGCTCCTCATACTCAAAAATGGGGGTAATCACCCATGACTTTCTATGATAGCAACAATGTACAGCAAGGCTGTGGCACTGTGCCTGCTGCAAACAGATGCTGCTATGTCTGGGTGGCATGGAGGTACCTGTTAGAGGGACTCAGCAGGGCCCGCTGCTCATCCCACCACACTGTCACTAGGAAGCTGGGTCCTGATGCTACAAGAAACAGCCTTTGAAAGACTTCAGTCAACAGTCCACAGGCAGCCATGCAGAAGTGTGCATAGAATTACTGCAAAGTAGACATAGAGGGATTTACACCTTCTAACCAGAGGTGGACAGTGTCACACAAGCAACTGCTCAGGAGTGAGTTTAGATACATTTTTATGCACACAAGAGTCCTTCCGGGGCTCAGTGAACTATGATGATTGAGATGCCTGTCACTTTTCTTGGATGTTACTTTGGAATTACAGGATGTCTTCCTTGTTCTTTTCAGATGGTTAGTGTTCCCTCAGGAGGCTTAATCATGTTAGAAACCTAGGAAAGACATTTATGAAAGAAAAAAGTTCTAATCTAAATCAGATCCCAGTCTAAGGTGGGTGGGTCTTTAAAGACTGTCCTGTAATACTTTCATTCTCTTGAATGGTTTTACACTATTTTGTTATGTTTGATACTATTGTGTGTGAAGGTGTGCTCAAATATTTCAAAGAAAAGAGACATTATGGTGGTACTGTTGCTATCTGGTGGTCTTGTTTTAAAGTGCTGTGTTGCTTGCATTGTTCTGTTCTGATTTGCTTTGTTCTGTTCTCTTTTGTTTCATTCTATTTAAAATAAAAAAAAGAATGCTCCTCTTTCTCTTATCACTGGTCATAAACCACAGTGACCAGGAATGCCCTCTGCTTTGTTTTGGAGGGCAAACCAGGTATCAGAAAGCATATGCACAGTGTGTACCCTTAAAATGTCACCGTGCTCTGTGGGATGCTCTGGGTCTAAGACCTGATAAATGATTATAAATATATTGTACGCTGAAATTTCTTCATTTAACTCCAACTGGCCCAGCATGCTGGTCTGACCCCCGTGCATTGCCCCCAGGCCTGCTAATGTCTAAGCACCTCACCAACACTGACCCCTTTATCTCAGGAATACTAAGGATGTGACAACCACCTATTCTGTTGTCACTAGCCTGGGTGACAGGTTTGCCTGGATTTCTTTTGCTGGAAAGGATACCAGAGAATGTGTGTTGCCAGATGGCACTGTCTGTGAATGTGGACATTCTCTTCCCAGGGCTGGAGCCCAGCACACTTGGAGGGCTGACAGGCATTGATATGTTTTCCTCAGGAACACATAACAAGTTACTCTCCTGTCCTTAGCATTAAAACGTACTGCTTTTGTCACATCCTTACCCATACTATAAATTGTTAGTCAATTCTATGTCTGCCTATTTAATGGAGGAAGAAAAACATAGATTTTATTAACTTACATGTTACACCTCACTGATGAGGGTATGCACAAGTGCTGTGTGTGTGCATGTCTTTGGTGGATTGCCTTCATATTCTTAGCCCTTTTTTCCTTAGGTTGATCTTTTTAATGACTAATTGAGTTTATATGTGCAGATGCTGTCTACCAGTTCATGACCTCTGCAATTGCTGGTCACCTGTTGTGAATGAGGATGATGAGATAAAGATGTCTGGGTACTCTTTTTTTTGGTGGTACCGGAGCTCGAACTCATGACCTTGTGCTTGCCAGGCAGGCGCTTATGCCACTGAGCTAAATCCCTGGCCCCTGTGCCTGGGTACTCTTTGCTAGGAATATACTCTTCTTTCTTTCATTGTTGGTACACATTACCTTTTGTAAAGAAAAGCCGCTTGCCTATTTTCATCTAGAAACTGATGGTATCGGTCTCGGGCCACACCCTTGAACATATTGCTGGCTTCCTCTGACCAATAGGTCCCACCTTTTAAACTCTGAAGCCTGAGTTGAAAATTTTTCATACCTAACTTTGGCCTTTTTCTTACTCCTTATATTTTGCCAGTGGAATGTATTTCACTCCACAAAGAAATTTCTAAAACTGAGCTTCATAAGAAAATCTTACAGAACATTTCAAAGAGCAGAGAAAAGCCTTTGCTGAGTCCCTTTGAACTCATGATACAATCAGAAACCCAGAACCCAGACAAAGGGACGTGCTTCCCATCTTTGGAAGGCTCCCTGCATTGCAGTTTGGATAGAGAGTGTCCACCAAAGCCCCGGGAGCTCACAGGCACCACAGCTGAGTGCCAAGTGATTGCATCCCGAGGATGCTAGAGCCAGATGCCATGTTGGGAGGCGGGGCCTGGTGACAAGACATGGGCCACTGGAGCTGTGACCGGGAAGTGTGTATGTCCCTTCCTGGTTCCTCCCTTATCTCTTTGCTTCCTGGCTCCCATGATATGAGTGTTTTTCCCTCCACTGTGCCCTTTGCTGTGTTGTTTCTTCCCTGGAGCCCAAGTGACCATGGACTAAAATAAACCTCTTCATGTGTTTTGAAATTTTGTTGTAGTTTTTCTTCTACTTCTTCTTTTCTTTTCTTTCTTTTTATCCTTGAAATACAATGGATTTGAAAAGAATAAATAAATCACTACTCCTTCAAACTGAGATGTCAGGCATTGTGTATCATCGATAAGAAAAGTGACTAGCACACCATGCCACAGAAACACATTGGTCCTTCTCCTCATCTTCCTGGGTGCCCTGGCTGCTGACCTTATTCTGCTTTTCTTCTAAAGTTACCAGCATCTATCGTATCCCTGTGATCTAGTGGTTCAAACAGCTCTGAGATGAGAGGATCTGGAACTTATCTGCACTGCTTACCAGCTTTGTTTCTTCCATATTGGGGATTGAGCCCAGGGGTGCTCTTATATCCTAGCCTTTTTTATTTTGTATTTTAAGACAGGCTTTTGGTAGGTTGCCCAAGCTGGCTTCAAACTTGTGATCCTCTTGTCTTAGCTCCCCAAGTATCGGGGTTACAAGCATGTATCACCATGCCTGGCTTTGCTTATCAGTCTTGTGACACAGGACAAGTTAATTTCCCGTGCTTTGGTTTTTCCACTTGCTCACGAATCAGTCATTGTAACTGCCTTCTCTTACAGGTTCTCATGAAGATTGCTGAGATGTGCATGCGAAAGAGTCAGCTCCTTCATCACTGACAAGTGGCAATTAACCATAGGTGGCTTTGGTGTAGGATATAGTCTCTATCACTTCTTTTTTCTAACATACTCTCACATTGTCCTCTTACACCTTCCTTTGTATGGACTTTGCTCAGCGATAGAATGCTGCAAAGACAAGGTCAGCCCCCACTCTTGCAGCCTATTATAGAGGGTGGACACAGGGCTGCAGCCAGAGCAGGAAGCTCCTCAGCCAACACCGGAGGGAACAGGACCTAGAGTTGGCCCTGGTGTGGCTCTTAATAACCACCTGCCGGTACTTCGGTGCCTGTCTGGATCCTGGAGGTTGCCTCCATCCCTAAGCCTGGGTAGGATTGGCAGAGGAGAGGATGCTACAGGAGTGTTTGCTGTGCGGTTGCATAAATCGGGGATATAGAGAGTTCCTTACCTTAGATGTGCTGTGAGCAGCCTTGGCTAGCACACAGCAAAGCCTGAGGTTCCTGAGTCAGGTGGCAGCTGCTGCCGGATGTAAATGTCACTGGTTGTATAAAAACAATCAGCTGAATTGGTAAATCTGAGCCCAAGAGCAGAGGGTTTGCCCATGGGATGGGCCCTTGGCCCACACTCTAGCAAACTTTCTCTTCTTTACCTTCTTATTTGGTCATCTGGTTCTCTCATCCTTCTCGCCATAAAGATGTCATGCAAACTCCTCTGCTGGGCTGTGTGGCAGGCTCAGGCCAGCTGTGTCTCCCACGGTGGCAGAGGCTGCTACCTGAGGCACTGTCTTTCCTCTCAGTCTTGACAAAAGTTGAATCTCATGATTATTTCTGACTTTAACAATTTATGAACATGAAAAGCCTTAAAAAGTATAGCATAAAAGAATGCCTATAAGGTCCTTTTCTATCAAAACGAACACAGCCACTGGAAATTATGATTGCCCTAGGAAATGCAAGGTGACAGTCATATTTCTGTACAACAATAAAACAAAACCCTCACACTGAGAGCATTTTCAGAACAAAGCACCATGAGAAAACCACAACCTCCATTTTTCAGTTGTTCCAAAGCAGCTTAGGTTCCTGACAATTCTCTTGTGTCAGTAAACTTAAACTGTCTTCCCCCACTTTGTCCCTGGTTTATCCATTATTATGTATCCCGGTAGTCAGGCTGAGCTGGTGTTGTGCACTTAGAGAAGCTGTTGAACAAGCCTCTGTTAAGGCTTAAGCTCTCGCACCAACTACTTGGTAATTTACACCATCCTTGCTCACAATTTTCTGTTCTACAAAATGTCAACAAATGTTCTCCAGGAAATTGAACGAGATCATGTAAGTGAAGTCTCTGAACAGGGCAGGAGATTGAACTATATATGCAAATATTTCTTTCTCTTCACTCCAAATTCACGGCTGAAGCTCGATTTACAATAAACAAGTCTCTGGTTGGAACAAAAAAAAAATTCTAGCACACACACAAGCTGTCACACTTAAGATTCCATGGCTGCCACATTACAGGACCATTTCTGCAGCGCCAGGTCTCCTGATGGGTTCCAGTTCTTCCTGGAGCACAGCATGTCCCATCTGTGCCACTCCCCAGGCCTGGTGCTCTCACAGCTTATCCAGCAGCACCAAAGGGAAGCTCCGAACCCTGCTGCTTCTTGTCCATTGCTCCTGAGAAGACATGGCTGCGGCTGTGAACTTACCTGTGCCATGGAGAGTGCCCAGCTCCCCTTTAGAACCACATCTTCCAGAAGGCCAGCTCAGCTTCCAGAGCATGTGAAAACGCACTGGATTCCAAACAAATGCTAGCAGCCTACCAACTCACAGGCCAGCATTTGTGTGTCAGCTACTTTCTCATGACTGGGACACAGTGCCCAACACGTGCAATTTAAAAGAGGAGAGATTTATTTTGGCTTATGTTTTCAGTCTGTGGTTCGCTGGATCCAAGGCAGAAACCTAGTGGAGAAATCTGTTGTGAAAGGGAGGAGCCGGGGAGGGAAATACACCCTTCCCGTTAGGCTCCCAGGGACTCGGCCCTCAGCAGGCTCTACTTCCGAATGACACACTCAGCTATGAACAGTCAGGGGACTGATCCACTGAAAGCAGAGGCCCCGCCCCATGATCTGGTCAATTCCCAGAGCCCCACCTTTGCACACATGAGGTTTCAGGGGACAGTCTGCTTCTAAACCGTACGGATCAGGCCCCAAGCTCCTTTCCTCAGGCCCTCTCAGTGCTTCAAACCTCTGTTTGGTGCTGCCACATTCTCCTCTTTAATCACTGTCCTTTTCATCCTCTCCCAAGTCCTGGCATTTCTTTGAAGATGGGGAGATGAAACCTCAGTGAACAGTCTATAAGGGGTTGCATAATTCTCAGAAAGTTTAAAAATTCTTTAAATAAATGCTTTTAATCAATATTCCCACTTACAGTAAACATTTTTCTTCTGCTGAATTTTTATCATTTTTTCCTAAAGTGTTTTTTGGAACAATCTAAAAGCCAATCCTTCTCCAAACCCACAGTTACTCCATTCATTGTGAAATACCCTCGCTGAGCCCTCCTGGCAAAATCAGGATGTGTATCATTTAAAAAAAAATACTGAGGATTGAACCCAGGGCCTCACACTGAACTACATCACAGATTATTTATTTAAGTTTTGTGATACGCTCTTGCTAAGTCGCTTTTGTAGTCAGGATTTGCAAGGGAACAAATTTAATACAGGACACAATTTTTAACGTT